AAAGGAATTTGAAATTGAAATAATCGTATGTAATGTTTAATGCTAATAATGCTCCCTTACTTGGTTGTTTCTCCAAAAACTCCTGGAACTTGTTCCTCTCATATTCAACAGACTGTTGCATCAGATGTGGTCTGATGCTGCTCAGGGCAAAGTTAGCCATGTCCACCTTCATCAGGTCCAGCACTGAAAATATGGCCCTAAAACATGACAGATGGAAAAAATGGGCAAACTCTAAGCACTGATGATGAAATATACACAATTCATGACAAGCCAAACTTTTAATTCAGTCTTGGTAAGTCTGGATCTGTACTAAGAAGTTGTTAATAGCGCTTTGAGCTATAATCAAAGAACAGTCGCTCTTATACAAGCTGAGAGCTGCATGATCTGATGGGAATGAAATTACACAATCTAAAAATAAACCACAGCCTGGAACATGCAGAGCTAATGATGACCTGTCTTCCGTGGCTTACTTGAGCAGAGGCACAACTTCGGTGATCTGCTTCAGCTTCTGGATGTCCTCGTCTCTGCTGGGGGCGCAAAGTGAGCCCATCATCCACACAATGAACTGGGACAGACGACCGATGTCAAGAGCTCCATTTTCAGCTTCCTGCTGGATCAGGGGCAAGTCCAAAACCTCCTCAATCTGAGAGCGCAGACGGCCGTGGCCTGGTAGCAAGAAAGACAGCAGTGTCTAAAAGAGGGGAGACGAGAGGTTAAAAGAGGTTGGTTAAATCTAGAGAAGGATGATTGAAGAATACGAATGAATGCAGGCTTCAGCATCTCACCTCTTTGATCTCAGCCAGAAGTTTGATGGCGTGTTCATATGACGGTGGATCCTCCTTCAGCTGGGCTTCCAAACAATCCCAGAATGCTTTGTGCATGATCTCCTTCACTCTGCGCTCCAAACTGTTCCAGAACAACACGCATGCTTTTATATCTGCAGCAAGAAAGAACTCACACTGAGGAAAAGATCCAGTCCTCACCTTCCTTCAGGAAGCTCCGCAGGTTTGATTTGAAAAGCCTGGTTCACCATTATTTCATGAGCCAAAGCCATGTTGGTGACTCCTTTAGCTGTCTCCATCAGTTCCTCCACAGAGACAAACCTGGGTGGGCTGGCTAGAAAGAGAAAAAGTATATATTTGTACACAATTACACGTCATTCTTTCTAAAGATAAAGTTTCCTTCATCTGGAGAACAAACTGGATATAAACTCATTTACTGAGCGCATTATCTCTCACTTCCAAATGGATTTAGAGTGAATGTTTTACAAGCAGGCAACACTAAGTGCAATAAGCGTGGATCTCCTCAATGCATCAGTCAGAGTCTAAACAAAGCTCTCTGTTCAGCAGCACGCCTGCCTTTAAGCAAAGCCTCTGTTGTTGTGGCTCACGGCCATGAGCAAAAACAAAAACTCACAATGTTCCACTCTCGTGAAGTCATCATCTGCACAAATCTAAATCTGGGAATAAACACATGAGAACATTTTCTACATCAGAACTGACAAAGTTAATCTTTTTCCGTCTTATACAAGTCCAAGCTGTTTTTAAGTGGACAACACTGTGTCACATATTTAGTAGTACTCATGTGGATATATGGCTTTGGAGGAGTGTTTTGTTTTGAGGTTTTTGTTTACATTTTCAAGGGCTAGCATCCTCCACAGCTGGAGCTAAAATTGATGTTTGGACTTTCCAAACCCCTTTGCAAGGTTTTTAATGTACACCGTGTCACAGTTTACTGTGTTCAGCACACAAACCAAATAATATTACCTGCCAAGCATCTTAGAAAACATGGCATTTTAATACAGAACGCGCAACAATCCGGCAAAGTAGTCTGTCAAATTTGGTGTGTCCAGGTTTAGTAAACCTACCAATCAATTCATAACCAATTAGTTGTCATTACTGAGAAGGTACAGCTGAATCTTCAGAGGTGGGTGATGTATATACTGCATGGACAGTGTAACCGATAACTGCTAATTGGAAATGGTTGTATACATCTGTCACTCTGCTTCTTTTTGAAACCTACATTTAACTAGCTCTAGATAAAATTCAGTTAATCAGTAATAAACCCATCACACAGCCTCGCTGACATGAAGCATCTCTGTACACAGTTCTCACAATTCTACATATTGACTCACTGGCAGTGACTGCAAGAGTCAAGTTGGTCAAAACAAGCAAGCACCACAGACAAGAAGATTTTATCTGCCAACGCTTGAAGGCATGTGCTTGTGAACTGAAGCATTCATGGTCTGACTCCTGCGGTCAAAAACAGGGCGAAGATCACATGTTTGAACAGAAGAACCGAGCTGTTCTCAGAGCATGCAAGAGGAAGGGGTCAGAGCCCAACTCCAGCCAGACTGCTAAACCATCTGTGCTGCCTCATTCAGGACATATTCTCACATGTATGTAGAAGGTCTCACAGCCAACATGTTTATGGATGACCTACCCTCAGAAACACAGGCCTGCAGGGGAAGCAAAGGCCTGAAATGACAGTGAGCAGCAGGAACCAGTAAATTTTTTTTGAAAACGTACTTTTAGGTAGAGGTGGGCGGATCGATCCAAATATCAATAGTATCGACACCAACGCTGGTATCGGTATCAGAGCAATACTAGAGTGACAGGGTGGATAAATGTATGTATATATAATTTTTTAATGAAAGAATACACCTCAAACATGCACTATGAACAATGTCTGAACCTCTGTGTGTTGATTGTCACATCTATTTATAGCCTATAGCACATTCAACCAACAGAAGCTGACCCAAAGTGCTTTACGGGTGAGCACATTTATATTCCAGGTTTCAAAGTACATGAAAAGCTGAATAGTGTTTTTTGTTGTAATTACTAATTATTGCAGTACGTAATCACAATCACAGTAAATAAATCTCATAACGGCACACTGCTCGGCCCTAAATAAGGTGCCTTTACAGGTTTAAAAGTATCGGCATTGGTATCAGCATTTACTTGGTATCAGATGGATACCAAAATATGCAGTATGACACAGCACTACTTTCAAGGCTGTGCTATTGTTCAGTTTTCATTTCAGTCACATGACAGGCTGTGACACATTTAATCCAGATCACATTCATGTGTTTAGCCAGTTTATTCGGGTTGAATTAAAACAAAGTTTCACAGAAACTAACCAGGAAGTTTAACAAATCTGATGCTTTTACAAAGTCTCTGTTATACGATCGTGATCTCGTTAGTTAACGAGCAAGCCTGCAGACAGTACTGAACAGTTAAAATACGCCTGATCACCTTGTGGAGTGTTGCCTCTGCGAGGACTCGGAGTGTTCGCCCGGACCCTCTTCCTAACCGTCTCCCCAGAAGCCCCCTGCCTCTGCTCCTCCTTCGACTCCTTGTCTCCTCCATCCTCCATGTGGTCTGCCTCCTTTGGCATTCTGGAGTCTGCAGGAAAACAGGTGACATGGAGATTTGAATGTGCAGGGATTTGAAATCTGAGAGCCCAATCACTATGATACAGCCAGGTCTTTGTAGAAGGTGTATAGCAGGGCTACACCAGGAAGCAGTGGCTGTCACGTGAAAGGACCTCACTTAAGAGCACAAATAACAAGAGATGTGCAGATTTGTTTCTGTGGTGCTCAAATGATGACATCATCTGGACTGGTAGAGGATGAGAGAGGGGAGGGGGGGAATCCGTGTGGCAGTGCGATGCTAAGACTGAGGAGGTGAAGTAAACAGAACAAAGCCTCATGGGTACTGTGGCTGTCCTCGCAGGCTTCGGTAACGGTACTAACCTTGTCCTCGGCAGCCCCGGGGGGGGAAGAGACGCGTCTGGTGTGGAGCTCAACTTATCTAACGTTAGCTTTATAGTCAGCGTGAGCGCCGCTTTCTCTTCAACAATAACAACACAACAACAAAGCTTTATGACACCGCTACTCCTTCATAACCCAGACACACGTTTATTCACAACTTCACCGCCGCCCGGCACCGCGCTCAGGAGAAGAAAGGCTTTGGTTTATCCTCGGAAACTCCAGCTTTTTTATTTACGTCGCAGCCCTCCTCTGACGGGTTGCCGCTAATCAAGAGATGCTTCCTGGATTGGGTGGGGCTAACGTGACGTAACAGCCGAGCCCCCCTCCCAATCGCTCACACACACACGGACACAGCGGCAGAAACGTTACATTTATTAGGGCCCGAGCACGGAGAGTGATGGGTGACATCTGCAACTCAGATTTGCTTTACAATGAGGTTGAATGGCTTTTGGAAAACAAAAACATGATTATTTATATCAGACGTGTTATGTTATGTGTAACAGATTTACAGAAAGTGAACATTGTTTTTGAGCAGGGTTTTTTTTTTAATGCAAACTCACTCCATTGTTATGAAAGTTTGAAACCACCCCCTCAAGTTTTCAGTCAGAAAACTGATCTACAGAGAACTGAGTGTGAATGAGTGGTTTCGTTTTTTTAAAAACTCTATAACTGTTAAAGATTAAACAGTGTTTTTTTTTTTTTTTTTAAACCTACAGCTACACTAACAACTAAACGAAATATATTTAAAAAAAAAAAAAAAAAAAAAAAAAAAAAAAAAAACCCTCTTAAATTATTTAAACAGCTTAGAGTCTAACAAATATAATGCTTTCCCTTAGAGTAGAAGTTCCCAACGTGGCCACCTCAGGCTCTTCCAGAAACCAGTTCATTGGCAGAATATACTTGCAAAGAGCTGAATGTTTCACATTTTACAGAGATGTATTTGAGATTTTGTAAACAATTGACATTTTATTCAATAGTAAATACACGTACATGCTTTAGTATTCTTCAATATTTATACATTTGATATGCAGACACAAACTTACTGTCAGTCAAAAATGCATCTGTGGAGATGGTTCACTTTTGTATAACAAGCGAGTAAAAGGCAAAAAACACCCTAACTAATGAAAACAGCAGAGACAAATCTGCACAGATCTACAGCACACTGAAGGCAGAGTCACCAAAGTACTGGTTAAATATTTCTGGGTGGGAAAGGTGAAACTGTCTAAGAAGACGCTTTTTCTCCTTGGCTGAGATCTTGGTATCCAGGTGGATGTTGTTTAAGAGGTCCCACAGCAATTGGTTGGTGGTGGTTTTTGTAGAGCTTTGTAAAGTGTTCCTGTCGACCTGCTGACAGAATGTAGAACCTGAAGAAGAGAGAAAAGAAAAAAAAAAAAAAAAACTGTTAAAGGAAATGAACATTGCATAATTGCCAATTTAATATAACTACAGACCTCCAGTCTCAGCTGGGAATAAAGTGATCTGGAGATTCTGCCACCACTAGGGGGCAGTGAAACATCAATAACCTACACATGACGTAGACCAATTTATGAATCACAACGGACGAGGAGAACAACAATAAAGAGGAAAATTTAATTAAAATTGATTTGAAGAGAAATGTCTGGATATTATTTAGTTTTTTCTGCTGATTATGGTCTCCACCAGGGAGCATCTGCTCTTTAGCTACATGACCTCTTAGCTGTTCTGGCCAGTTAGTCTATGGCAGATCCACCAGTGCTCATTTTTCTTAGCAGAGAGCCTCACTCTGTGGAGATGAGGGAAATCTGCTGTTGCAGATATTCAGGATGCCACTGTTTCACTCCATCAGTAATTAAAGATTTTCGGAAAGACTGTCATATAAATATTCCATGCTTTATAGACATGTGTAGTCATAGTGAGAAAACTTTAATTTAGAGCATTGAAAGAAAGCTTATGTGCGACCTGTTCGAGTTAAAGACTTCATGTTAATGTTAAAAGATAAAAGTATTTTTACTTAATTACAGATACCGTTCCTTTTGTGTTTTGCAGTGAGATGGAATTGTGCGATCTGTTCTCTAGAGTTTCTCCGTCTTAAAAGGAAACTGATGTTTTGTGTCATTTACCAAAAGTAATCAAAAGCCATTTACCCGTCACATCCGGCTGTTTCCCCTGTACGAGGCAAGCCAGCTTGTCACTCACTACTTTGTGCAGAGCCCCAGGTATCTGGAGCAAAGAAAAAAAAAAAATTTACAGAAGAAAGCTGCGCATAATCCCCCCCCCAAAAAAAACCACAGTTGAAGAACAAGAACTGTGTAGCTTTACGTTTGTATTTAACCCATTCATATTTTCCCCACATCGTCTTCCTTTGTAATATCTACTGCTTCACAGCACCCCAAGCGAACCTTCGAGACACATTCCCATTTACATCGGTGTCTGCTGTGCGGCCACTTGTGTACAGCTTTTTTATAATTGCCATCTCTTCTACTACAAGTCAAAAGGGCCCCATGCAAACACATTAAGTTGTTGGACAAGCCGCAGATTTATTGAGCAACGGTTACCAAAGAGAACATTCTAGATAAAATAACTGATTACATTAAGGATGGCCAACTACAGGTCATCCTTAGCAGTGGTTTGAGTGACCGAATCGCAATGGGTTTAGTTCATATGTACAAACATTTCTTGCACAAATCTTTGATCATTTTTTCTCCCTGCTTTCTTGCTGCACTGGGGCAAGAAATCAGGCAAAAAATTCATCATCACTTTCTCACAACACAGACCAAAAGCATTCTATTACCTTGAAGATTTCTTTAACATTGCTTAGCATAAAGACCAACATAAGATCTTCTTTCTCTTTGGAGAGAGCCTTGCTGTGTAGGATCGCCCTGGAGAAAGACCTCTTCACTGCCAGCCTGTTCTCAATCTACAGATGACAGAGCACATCTTTGATGTCAGACCCCCCCAAAAAATAAAAAAATTAAATAAAATAAAAACACCACTTGCTCTCACCTCCTTGTCCACTTTAATCCCATGTGGGTCAGCTGCCAGAGACACGAAGATAAGCAGCCTACGGAGCTCATCTCTGCAGCTGTGCGGCAGCAGCTTCAGACACAGTTGCAGAGCCTCGAGAGCCTTATCTAATTTAGCATTTACTGAAAAGGTGAGAGAATGAAAGAGACAGTTGTGCTGCAAGTGGTGAGGTTATTAAAAATTCAGCATCTTTGGAGGAGAAGTAAGCGTGGTTGGAGACGCGGTAAAAATCTCACCGTCACGTCTGAACCAGTGTTCTTACCGAGCAGCTCGGTGATGGCTGTGTAGATGTCAGTCATGTGCTGCGGCAGAAGTGGAAGCCTGTTTGTGATGCTGTAGTGTTTGACCAGAGTCCCATATAGAAGCAGCTTACACTGGGCCAAGCCACTTGGGGAGAGATGCGTGTGCTCTGCACTGTTGTCACCTGAGTATTTTGAAGCTATTGTTAAACATGCCGTCATTTGCAACATAAGCTATACATGTCTCTCACCATAGCTCACCAGTGGCGTTTACATGCTTTACCCGATTCTGATACTCATCATACCACTTGCCTCTTTCTTGGACGCTGAGACCAGCTGGTTCTGGGTCACAGCTCTCATTATCTTGAGGGAAACAATGAGGCAGCTCCCTGCTGAGCTCCACTACCGGCTGGTCAGGCAGGAAGTCCAAACAGTCCAAAGCTGCACAGAGCCACTCATCTTCCCTGAAAAATGAGGAGGAAACAGTGCAAGTGAGATCAACACAACATCAAATTTCTAAAAAAAATATAAAGATTTTTAAAAATCCAAACTTACTGAGAGTCTTGGAAGGCCTTGAGGATCTGTCGGTCCAGGTGGTTGCTGCTGTAGATCAGATCTGGGTTACTGTGTGCCAGGTTGGCTGGAGATGGAGAGGATGGGCTCTGCCTGCACTGAAGCACGCCCTCCAGCACAGGGAGCTCCACCAGGTTTAACAGCCTGAGCAGGGTCTGCTCCTGCCACACCTCATCCACCACTGCAGGAACGAGCCAGAGGAACCAAGCTCTAATTGAGTTGCAGCCTGTGCAGGTGTATTGCTGCCTTTTGTCCCCCTGAATGCAGCCTATGATAGGATCCATGCTGTTAAACTACATGTGTAATGTTATTTGGCATCAAACATTGCCTGATAGATGCATGTATTGCTCAAAACCTGAATAGATCATTCAGCATTAATGTCAAATTAACAGATGTGCAAGTTACTCAAACCATGTGAATTAATGTACTCCGATTATCCTCAGAGATGCCGGATTGTGGCTGATCCAGTACCATCTGCTACATGTCTCTTTGAATGCAGTTTGCCTGATGATCACAGCTATGTAGTACAGATTCCCTGCTTGTCTTTTGTATACCACAGCATTATGTGTTGCAGAAACATTTGCTTTAGTTTAGTTGTTCAGGATTGCTTTAGTGATGCATACGAAAAAGATTTGTGCTCACATGATTGTGGTAAACCCGTGTCTGTCTGTACCCTGCACGGACTCAGACTGTTCATCGGCAGCTCCAATGATTGGCTGCTAGTGGCGGGAGCATCTAGCTGGCTGGAAGTATGAGTGAAGAGGACTGGGGTGGACAGCTCAACAAGCGATGCAGGGGGACAGGTCTGCTCTTCCTGCCTGAAATGCAAGAGACAGATTTCAGGCACAGTAAATTCAGACCTTGATGGATCTACGCTACAAAATAACTCCGTCAGTCCCAAAGGTAAAAGCAAGGTGTACCTAATAATATGGACAGTGAGAGTATACGGTAATATTTATTATTCAATTCATAAAAATATTCATACATGAGATAAATTTTGACTTGATGCTACCTTTGGTTAGATGTTATATATGCAGTGTGCCTGTAATACAGATAAATAAGTAGTTTAGAGGCGATACCTGTCTGAAGGAGCGCAGGTGAAGAACTTTTGGATCCCATTCACAAGCACACCTTTTTCCAACTCATCTACTGAAGGAGTAGATGTGTCTACAAACCTGCATGTTTATATGAAATATTTAGGGAATGCCATCACAGGTAGAAATATTTTATTTTTTTTAAACAGTTTGTTTCATGTAGCCAACCTGTAAAGAGCGCTCTTGCTGTCCTGAAACGCATCCCGTTTCCTGTCTTTTCCCAGCACTTTGGTTCCCACCGCCTCAAACACGCCGCACTCCAACAGCGCCTGGCACACACACACCACTTTGTCCCGAGACACGACGGCACCTTAAATTTAATCAAACAGAAGGGCCGAATATCATAAATAAAATGATCTCTAGAAGGTGAAGCTATGGGAATAAAACAGCATCTACAAACCAACACACACCCTCAAAGCCCTTCGCTTTAACAATGTGTTCTGCCAGTACATCCACACCCTCTGAGCCAAGGAAACAGTCACTGTGGGATTTCAAGAGGACTCGTCTGCGCTTCACAGTCACAGTAGACTTCAGGTGGGAGATAAGGCTGCTCCACATGGTGCAAGACTGGACTGGCTTGGAGGCCACACAAGGAGCTTAAAAAAAAGGCACATTCAGAACAAACTCTTAACATATTTTACAGGCAATTTGTGCAGGGCATGATTAGATATATGCAAAAGGACAGAAGAGACCTCTTAAACACCTTTATAGGAATATATATCTCTAAGAGAATGAGGGAAAGGAGAGAAATCAAGGGTTGAGGAGGAAGGTTAGACTAAGCACAATAAGGAAACCTTAAAAATGACCACTGCCACAGTTGTTTGTAAGTGTAGCTTTGCAACGCTTGCTTAACATGAGAGAAAAACAATCAGATCTCAGTTCAGGCCTCTGCCAGGTGCAAACACCTGACTGAAACTCACCTTGATTACGCACACATAATTTCTCCGCAAGGTTCAGCGCAGCGGCTCTTTCTTTTATTGAAGCCATGCTTCTGACTATTACAAAAGCTGAGAATGGGCGGGTATAAAAGCAGGAGGAAGCATTCAATGAAAGAGCCTCCAATCAAACAAGCGCCCTCTCTGGCGTTTGTGTGCAGCGCTGTAATAAAACCGCTAGAGGGCGCTAGTCGCTCAGACACACAGAGACCTCTGGCTATGGAGGTCTTCAACTATGTGAACTTTGTGTTTTACTGACTTGCTTTCATAGATTCCACTAATGAATGATGGGAACAGATCTTCTGATCCTCTGCGGAGTCATTAGCCATAGCTTTATCAACACTTTATTAAAAAAATAATTTATATAAAAGCACTAAATGATGGAGTGATCATTTATTTTAAATATCAAATTCATTTAAATATTTAAACAAATGTTATGCATTTTTTTTTCTTCTCCGTTTGAGTGCCTGCAGGTGGTGTAAGTAAATCTTGACCATCTGCCTGTGTCACATTACTATTGTGCAAAAATAGGACATCTCTATTAAAACTCTATTCTATTAATTTATGCATACATACGTTTTATTTGTGCATTATATATTTTATAGAAAACTACTGTCATATTTAAATTTGTATTTATATATCTTAAAGTTTTTGAACATTTCACATTTTTGAGAATCTTCTCAGCATCTGTCCAGTGCGCTTCCTGTAGTTCGCCATCTTGCTTGCTGTGCTAATTACTAAAGGTAAGCTACAACAACAAGCAAAGATTTTATTTGAAGTACTTACTTATGGCAGTGCCTAATTTATTTCTCTGTTAAATTAGTGTACAAATATGTATTTCAGCATTAATATGGAAATGTATGTTTAAACTGCAGAGTCATGTTAGCTACAACTAGGTGGCTTTAGCTTTAGCAATCGTTTTTGCTAGGCTAAACAGTTTGTGCTTATTCTGTTAGCATGGGAGTTTGATAACACTGGAAATACCTTTAGAACAACAGTACAGTCACAGTAAAAACTAATGCTCTGCATTTATTGTGTTGTTTATCAACATATCTGGGCCTTAGTGTTTTGCTAACACCTAGATTATTAGTTATCATCAGGATAATGATAACTGATTTTGCTACAGTTGAACCTAGAGCAACATTAGTTATCATAATCCAGGAACACCACCAATATGGGCACATCAGACACCTGATATTGACGAGTCTTACAATGTCAGCTTTCTTCTCTGACTTCAAACAGACTAAACTTTATTATTATAGTAGCTCTCTTCTAGTCTTACTGATTAAAGTGCCAAAAGTGCTTATCACATTCATACAGTACCTTTCCTTACACATAACCAGATTTGTGTATCCTGATTGCCAGTATTAGGGTAACTGGATCCAGAAAACAGAAAGGTATCCTGGGTTCTCTGAACTCGTTTTGTAGTGCAGGGCCAAGGTCTTAAAATTAGATCAATACAAACTCAGATGAACTACAGAACAATAACACATTTTTGAGTGTCATTATTGATTTAACAAAATTAAGTCAAAGTGCGGTGTCTAAAAAAGTGGTGTGTAAAAACTTAGGTACACCCTACTATTGCTAATCAAATGTACTTTATGAGTTGATCATCAACAACTGATGATCAGTTAACATCTG